TCTCACCTTCACCTCTACATTAGGAAACTCCAGGTTTAGATTCCACTCCAAGGATTAAGCTGAAATTGCAGTGCAAGACATGGGAGTGCTACATTATCAGAGTTGCTGTCCATAGGACGGCAGCTTATATCTGAGGCAGCCATCTCTGATGAACGTCAAAACCGTTTGAAGAGCAGGAGAAGTTCTGCCCAAGTCCTGGACTACATTTCTCCCTCCACAAACATCAAAACACTAACTGATCATTCAAATCACCATTATTAGATGGCTGCTTCTAGCTGTCTACATGACGGTCACTGCTTTTCAAAGTGATTCATTGTACAAGAACAGCTGGGAGAAGTTTTTGTAAAGGTCCAAACTGAAAACTTTGGTCTTTTCTAGTGACTCTCATTGGGTATTTAGTAGTACTCAGAAGAAATCTAGTCTTAACGCAAGTTCTAAAATAGCAAATACTAATATTGAATTTTTACATTTCTCTCCCAAAGTCCACTGCATAGATAAACAAATGGCTGACATAATATTGATACAAAAGATTTTAAATTGCCAAGAAAATATGCAGCAAATAAATCAGTCCACATACTGATAAATGTGGGATGTCAATTTCTTGGGAAATAGACTCTTATCAGAAGCACTTTAAAGATGTTTCTATTAAATTCTTAACAAAAGTACAGCTCCAAGTGATAGACTTGGTTAGGGCAAAGGGGAGATATGGCAACAGAACCTGGCTTAGATTCACACCTAGCAGGTGGCGATGGAACAACAATGCTACAGAAGTAGAACCCTTAACCAGCTACCAGGAGAATTTCTGTGGTACAGAAGACATAAAAGACATAAAAACGGAAATAAAAATGTTTTCAATTAAATTCAAGTTGTACATTTTAATATTTTCAAACAAACGTACATTTTTCCTTTGAAAACTGTGACTCGTACTGAAATCATTTGGTAAACATTAATGCTTCCATACACCACAGATTGCAGTTAGTATTAAAATTTACAGACACTAAAATTCTGGCAAATGTCCTTTCAGATTAAGAGCATGCAATCTTCAGAGTCCTAACATATTATGTAAGCATATGTCGCAAATTTTAATTTGCAAAATACATCAAGAGCTGTAACTGCCATGGTAACAACTGATGCCAAGCATTCTGTATTCAATAATTAGAATTATATCAGATCAGAAGGGGACAAGCAACAATAAGACCTCCGAGTCTCAGCTGTAACAAAACTTAGTATAAAAACAGAATTTACCAATTCAAATTTAATTTGATAGCCTGTTGAGCTTTTTAAGAGTGTGGGTGAAACTAAAAATGTATGTACCTAAACATTTCAATTCTTTAAAAGCTTAAGCTTGTTTTAACGACTTTTGAAATTGTTGCAAATTTTAGTTTGGGCTTTTTGAAAAAACTTTTAATAAAACCTGTCAATTTCCAACTTGTTCAAATGAAAATGTATTTATAACACGAAAGAGATAAAAATTGAGAGGGAAGTTATTATTATTCAAATGCTTCCACCTTTGTCTGTAAAGAAAGAATAAATTTGTGAATGACTAAATTCTGAATATCTTCCTCAAAATATTTTGGTTTGGAACATGTGGCTTTCTATTGTACAAAGAAGCTTTTAAAAAGGGTATTTAATTGGCAGTGCAGAGACACACGATTTCAGGTCTCCATCACTCCAGGGATGCTGCCAACAGACGAGAAGCCTGTATCCTGGAATGTGTCCATACATTTTTTTTTTAAACCAGGGAATACAACTTCAGCCTAGCCTGGGAGCTTATCTGGAACCATTCAACCTCAAGAAAACATTTTACAAACATTTTATACATAGAGAACTAGTAAGGATTAATAACTAGGTTAACAAGTTAACGTGCATTTTATTTGTGCAACAGAAAGCCACATGGCCCTAGTCACCGTGACTATAAGGAAAATGTATTATTCCCTCAGAGAACATTTTTTGTTGAAACTAACGATTTCAAACTGTGTGGCTGGCACCAGTTTCCCCATAAGGATTTCATTTAACAGAGAAATTCGGAGAAAAACCCTTGTGTAAAATTCAGGAAAAAAATGAGCAACCCAAAACCTAAAGTGTATTTAATTCAGAAACTAGATCTCATGACAGATATCATGTTAGATAGTGAATCAGCATTGAATGTATATATTAGAATTTAAGGAAAGATGGTTTTAATATCCAAACTACCTCATAATAAAAAATATTTGGCAACAGTGATTTTATGGATAAAGAGTAGAACATTCAATTGCTTCTTAACACAATATGGATTAATTCCAGTATTTCTAGGATTAATTCCAGTACTCCTGATTTAGTCATCTTGTTCCACATTACAGAACAATTCACATCAGTTCAAACATTAACAGGTTTTATTAAAAGTTTAAAAATTTGCAACATTTGCAAAGGTCATTAAAACTAGTGGAAGCTTTTTAACAATTGAAACGTGCAGATACATTATGTTTCACACACACATTCAAAAAGTGACCAGGCTAGATTTTTTTTTAAATCAACCTGTTCAGAGATTTTATTACATATTTTGGAGCAGTTGCGACTTCCACCCAGGCCTCCTGGTTCAGAGGTAGGGACCACTGCTCCACAAACTGACCATGTTATCAGAAAACTAGAAGTGGTACACACCCGTTTCATTAAATGTGCAAATTAAACCACTTGCTACCTCAGTGACAAGTTTAAGTGGAAAAAGCAAGATTGTTTTGTGCATAAATAAAAACCGAAAGGATTGCGGATGCTGTAAATCAGGAACAGAAACAAAGTTGCTGGAAAAGCTCAGCAGGTCTGGCAGCATCTGTGAAGAAAAAAATCAGAATTAACATATTGGGTCCGGTGACCCTTCCTCAGAACAATGTTAACATTGTTTTGCGCATGATTGTTTCCTTGTATTGTCAGCAGAACCAGTACACAGGAATGTTCATCAGAAAGAGAATGTAAGCAGCTATTTTTTAACCCAAGTGTCAAGATTTTCCTTCAATTACAATGAACTACTGGATCAGAAATTCTTAATCATAAACCTAGTCATGTTTAATCATGATAAAAAAAACCTTGTAAAGAGGATCTACGCATAATGTTAACTATAAACCTAGCAGAAGACCAGAAATTTAAAACTGGATATGCCTACAGAGTATGACGCAAAAGAACAAAAGGAATAGGACTGTGTAATCCAACAATCCCTGCTCCACCATTCAACACAATCATGCCTGATGTTTGGTTCCAACTTCCAATATTGCAGGAACCTCACACAATATCGCAGGTGTGATCTCACCAAAGTCCTGCACAATTATAGCAAAACTTCCTTATTTTTGTACTCCAATCCCTTTGAATAAAGGCAGTAACATTTGGACGACACAAATGCCAGGCAATGATCACCTTGATATAGATAATCTAACCTCCACCTCTTGACATTCAATGGTATTACCATTACTGAATCCCCTATCAACATGCTGGGCGTTACCATTGACCAGAATTCATCTAGACTTGCCACACATACACACAGTGGCTACTGGAGCAGGTCAGAGGCTAGAATACTGTGGCAATAACTCACTTCCCCACTCCCCAAAGCCTGTGCTCAAGTCAGAAGTCCACAAAGCACAAGTCAGGAGTGCAATGGAATATTCTCCACTTGCCTAGATGGGTGCAGTTCCAACAACACTGAAGAAGCTTGACAACATCCAGGTCAAAACAGCCTACTTGACTAACCCCACATCCATAAGCATTCACTCCCTCCACCACTGACAATCAGCAGCAGCTGCAGCATGTACTATCTGAAAGATGCAGAAATTCACTAAAGATCCTTAGACAGCACCTTTCAAAGCCATAACCACTTCCAACTAGGACAACAGCAGCAGATACATAGGAATGTCAACTCCTGCAAGTTCCCCTCCAAGTCACTCACCATCCCAACTTGGAAACACATCATCGTTCCTTCACTGTTGCTGGGTCAAAACCCTGGAATTCCCTCCGTATGGGCATTGTGGATTAACCTACAGCATGTGGACTGCAGCAGTTCAAAAAGACAGCTCACCACCACTTCTCAAAGGCAACTAAGGATGGGTAATAAATGCTAGGCATCCAGTGACACTCATATCCCATGAATGAATTTTTAAAAATTGTCTAAATTATTTGTTGTAACAGCACGTTAGCGTTATGTTCCTAATACAAGTACACATAAGTCCTTCTGAACATGAACACCGACAAGGTACACACCTTATTATTTTCTATTCCAACTACTCTAAGACAATGAAGGATCAATATTTATTTTAACTACTTTTCTTTTTACATATTTGTAAAATTTCCAAATCTGCTTGACCCTTTGTCAATTGGCAGTTGGTTCAAGAAACAGCCCAGAGATTGTGGTTGTTTTATAATTTGGATCCTAATGCTTCAAACTCTCTCAACAGAACATAATTCTGTTGTTGATTCTTACGTGACCATGACAACCGGATTCCTCCACTCCAAGTCTGTCCCTTGCACGAGAAGGTATCCTTAACCCTGAGAAAACAACCTTTGGAGTTATCAGTTGGGGCAGGAGTGAACAGTATCCATCCATCTGACTATACTCTCCCCTACCACCACCACCACCACCACATTTCTTTTTGCAACCCCTACTATAATTTGAATATCATGCTGCACCATATACATTGGTCTGTTTGCTCACACATTCTTCTTTTCACCATCACAGGTCTCAAGCGTCTGGCACCTGTTAGTCAAAGTCAAGGTCTGAGATTCCACAAGTGTTACATTTTGGATCCCCATTTCTTCATGTCATGCCATCCTAGACCATTAACCAAATGAAAAGTTCTACTTAACCTATGGGATGCAACTGCCTCCTGCAGTAAAGTGTCCAGAAATCTCTTCCCCTCCCCAAATGTCTATAACTCAGCAACTGTACAAAGTTGCTCATGCTGTAGACATACATTGTACATCTAAGTTAAGTACTTTAGTTAAAAACGGCTTCATGATTTTTATTAGTTCAGTCATCTCACCTGTACGAGTCACCATCTCTATTATAGTCACAAAGTAAGTAATCCTTTCCAATTACTTTATCCCTGGCGATCTTCAGTGGCTGATCTACAGATGATAATAGGTCTTCACAGAGAGTTGGAACCTGCAAAAAGATCAAGCAGAACACATTACAAACAATTTTAATCTGGAACTTTCTTTAAACTGATAGTTTAAAAATGAACTCATCTCTTAAAATCATCACAAGTAATGAGAAACACAATATTCAAAACTGTATGAATTTAAATACTAAATAGAATGGTCCTATCAAAAGTGATCTCATTGGAATCACCCATATGCTTAAGACAAAAATTGTGTTCACATACTTGAATAAACATCACAGCAGGGTCTCAGGAATGCTGCAAAAACTTGCAACCTCATAAATTAAGACATCACACAGTCAGGGTTGTGCAGACAGGTTTGTGCATGGTAGCTACCAAAGGAACACCAGGGGAATACCAAATACCACACAGGCAGAAATATTGCACATGGCACATGAAATAATATCTCTTTTTGGGAGAATTTTATACGGGTCATAGGATATTAAGATCAAGTTAAAAAATACCAAACTTCATTTAAAATTACATTATAGACATCACTTTGCATCTAACATTCAAATTTTTTTATGCATTGTATTCTGCAAATCCTAAAATAACTCAAGTACTGTACCCCGCTGCAGATAAAATCTGTAAAATCAGATGGATGGAAAAGATTTCAAAATCTTTAAGAAAATTGGATGACTAATAGTTATTTATTCAATTTTACATTTATCACTCTTAATAGACACCAGAATGTATCAAAGCTATGTTCCTGAAAAAATACATTTCTTTCCACATCATGTACATCAAACACAAATTATCTGCACCTCAGGTTCCACATTCTCAAAGAACCAGAAACAACTTTTCTCTGCTGCAATTTCTTGTTCACAAAGCATGGTTATTATTACACTGAATAACGACCATGTTATACTGTCATCTTAAGAAGCTTTAATGTATGATTAATTCTACAGAATAATCCTGAGGAATGTATTTGGAGTCAAGCAGATATTGAGGTACCCTCAAGGTTTTGGAAGTCTTGTTACCTGAATGAGGTGCAGTGTGCTTCAAAACTATTTATTGTGGAAATATCTGGTCTGCTGAACAGCCAGCAGAATGGAGGCTTCTGCCCAGGATGGCATTTCAGTAAAGCACAAATGGAGTGCAGCAGAACAGTCAGAGGTCATTAATTTCACTAAAATGCTTAATTGGTGATTCATCATCACATTTTCTGTATATGCAACTTTGCTGTCATTCTACCTGGTTGCCTTATTTATTTATATGACAGTGATAACCAGCCTGAAGGAATGAATTGCCTGTGAGGTGTTTGGGTCAGCATCAGGATATAAAATATTATCCAAGTTATTTTCTTTCCTGAGGTTAGTTCTAATTTGTCCGTACAAATTTATTACACTTGAGACTCCACAAAGTCCCAATCACTGGCACACCAAACTGTGCACAAACTTCCATTCCAGCTTACCTTTAGCTGTACTTATTGTATTTGTTGCATAAGTTTGAAATTAGAGATGTGTTTTGCTGGTTGAGAATCTCAATTCCTGACTCAAGTTCCCTTATTGAATTGTGTTACCTCTTCCTTCACTACTCATCAGAATGTGGTACTTTCGCCATAAGCAGCTACGGATTTACTCAGTTTCCAGTATCATGGACATGTCAGAACTCATATGGACACAGCATGCCAAGATCAGTGTACCCATGTGGTGCTTTAAAAATAAACCTACTTTGAGGTTGCAGCCTTGCTCGCCAAGCCGGTGTGCTCGATTGCAGATGTTTCGTCACCCTGCTAGGTAACATCGTCAGTGTGCCTCCGGTGAAGCATTGGTGTTCCGTCTCGCTTGTTATTTATATGCCTATTTTTGCTGGAGTGGTTGATATTACTTGAGGTTTTGTTCTTCAGTGATTTGTATATTGGGTCCAGTTCAATGTGTTTGCTGACGGAGTTCCAGTTGGAAGGCCAGGCCTCCAGGAATTCCCTGGCATGTCTCTGTTGGCTCATGCTATTATGGATGTGCTGTCCCAGTCGAATTTGTGTTCTTCTTTGTCCATGGATATTGAGACCAGGGAAAATTGGTCATATCTGTTGGATAATATTTTACATCCTGATGCTGTCCCAAAATACCTCACAGGCAATTCATTCCTTCAGCCTGGTTATGACTGTCATATAAATAAGCAAGGCAACCAGGTAGCATACACCAAGAGACACAACCAATTCTCACTGGTTTCGTACCACATACCCAACCTCACCACTACGTAGGGCAGCAGGCTTGATACTTTGTGGAAAACCAACCTGAGAAACTGCCAGCCACACTGCCAAGTTGCAGAAAACACAGTATACATGATTTATGGTTTATAAATAACAAGCCCCAAGCATGTATTCTATTTGAGTATGGCTAACATTCCAGGATTCAATTTTTATTACTTGCCATCTTTTTGGCTCAATTCATTCATTAGTAAGAATTTGACGAAGCAATGAATGATAGACAGCAACATGAGGCAGGCCAGAAATGTAAAAGAAAAAAAACTGCATATTAATTTAAGCAGAAACCATCTGAAATGGCGCTTAACAACAAAAGTAAATAGCCACCCCAGCTGATCTGGGCAAAAGGGAAGAGGGTGGGACAGAAACTATTATAATTTTTAATAAATTCAGTACATCATGCAATCATCAGTGGATAGAAGATTTGTATCAACAGCAAAAGGTATCAGCCGAGGGCCTTGTCAATGCCAAGTATTACACACAATAATTACACCCTCAATGTTCAATATACTGCAATCCTTGTTCAAAAACATTCGAATTTCAAATAAATTTTGTCAGATTGCATTAATGCTTTGATATTTCACAAGCTTTATTTACGAAGTACTACTTTCCTGTAGTTGCTACAACTCTGCAGCAGATGTCCCTCTTTTCAACTATCAGATAGCATTTGCCTCGCTGTCAAATGTGATTTACTGCAAATATATTCATTGGAAACATTTTTGTATGACAGAATTTATAATTATGATAACAAGTGGTTAAGCTACAAAGCAAAAAGGCAATTGTTATTAATTCCTTAGCGTAGGCAACACTGCCATTCCAGGAACCAACGTAATGAATCTGTGATGTACTGTCTCTAATGCAAATGCATTCTTCCTTAAATACGGGAACCAAAACTGCACACACTATTGCAGATATCACTCACTAAAGCCCTGTACAAACATAGCAACACTTCCTTATTCTTGCACTAGGGAAAGCAAGGCTGATGTAGGCTGTGAGAGAGAAATGAAATTGTGAAATGAACTATTATAAACGTCGTGCTATAAATCACTTTGCAGTAAAGGCCACCATACCACTTAATCGCATATTTACTTGCCATACACACGTGTTAACTTTGTCCTCCTTGTTTGAATACACTAAAGTCTCTAGGAACATCAACACTTAAAAGTTTGTAGCCTTTGAAAAAAATTCAGCCCTTTCTGATCTTACTACCAAAATGAATAACCTCAAACTTCTCCACATTATATCCAAAGCCACCTCTTTATTCCTACATAACCTGCTTACATCTATTGACTTGTATTCGTTCTATTCTCTTTGCAGCTTACATTCCCATCTAGCTATGTGTAGTTAAATGCACAAAAAAATGAAAAGGAGTATACCAATTTATATTACAAAGTTTACAATAGTTCATTTCAGAAATGCATTTCTCACACACAGCCTACATCAGTTTTGCTTTCCACAGGGCACACTAACTCCAGTGAAGAGAGGTGTCAATCTACTGGCAGCAAACTTACCCCAACATCCATCACTTACCCCCAGTCATCTCTGCACACAATTCGGCTGACATTCCAATAATAGATGAAAGATAGACAGAAAAAACATACCTCGCAACACACCATCACATTTCAGATTCAATGTGGACCTACAACAGCTGCATGAAGTTTTAATATCTGAAGTAAGTAGAACCGGACATTCAGACGAGTGTTT